AGCATTTTCTAGATGAGGTGTTACTAATGATTTGTACAGCGACAAAATGATGTCTATCTCTCTGCAGTCTATAGCTCTCTTAATAAAAGAAAGGATTTTGCTTGCTTTGGAAACTGCAGCTTGACATTGCATGCTATTATTAAACCTATGATCTACCAGAACACCCAGATCCTTCACCATTGATAAATAAGGAAGAGCAGAAGTGAAGAACAAGGAATAGTGGGTCAGGAATCAGCAAGGATCGGGAAAAAGTACACAGGAGAAGGTACCAGCAGGCGGAGTCAAGGTTATGGGTATGAGCTATCAGGCACATAGTACTTGGGCACACAAGCAAAATGCTGAGGCAAACTAGAGGAGGGGCTAAATATCCTTCTTGGATGTTGTAAGACATTCAGGGTATGGTACAAATAAATAATTGGGAGTAAAGTTTACTGAGTTGCAGCTGTGGTTGCTATGGATAACAGATTTTTGGAGCAAGCTGGTATCTAGAGATAGAAACGGATTGGTGTATTGGCTGAGTATGATGTGTCTGACTAGGCGTGAAGTAGGGGTTGAACAAAACGCAGCTTAAAATTCCCTTACTTGACTAGAGAATGTACTGCATTGATACAATCCAGCAGAGGCTCTTGTGAATATATGGAATAATGTCATAAAAGTACAGCTTATCATCTTCCAACAACCACACTAGAGACACAAAGTGAGCCTTGCTAAAGAGAGGAGAAAAATCACCACTGCCAGAGTTAACAAGTAAGAAAAGCTCAGAGCAAAACTGATAATCAGGGGCTGAACTTCACCTAATGAAACCTTGCCTTGATTAACAAGAGTATGAGCCAAATAAATAATTTAAACAGTTCTTCACTAGTCTTCTCCAGTCAGCATGAGGTGCATGCTCATTCTTGGAATTTGCTGGCTTCTGGGAAACATCAGAATTACACTTTTCAGGTTTGAGGACCACAGCTCCTCCAGCAGGTGCTCTGGTTCTGTAGAATAACTGCATATCCTAAGTATTTATTGACCCATTTCCTCACTTAGTCATGTAGACATGTAGACACTCCATCTATTCTTCTTTTATCAAACTTTTGCGAAAAAAAAACATCCCTCAGATTCTGATCACCCTCACAGTTAAAAATAACAATTAAAATAAATTTAAATTTAACCCAGTGGCATTGGGTTCTTTCCATTTTAGCTCGTATTTATTCCTTCACTTCAGCTGTATGCTGGAGGAATTGCGGCCAACATTACACATTTGGTGGGAATGCACTAAGATTAACGCTTTGTGGGCTGACACTACCAAATCCTGAAGATCCTGCATATAGAAATCCTTTTTGCTCCACTACATTTCTTGCTCTACAGTCCTACTGTTCCAGCAAGTCACTATGCCCGCTGCATCTTACCTCACTTACTTAACACGGCTAAGCAGCTCATACCAATCAATTTGAAACAACCTCATGCTCCTAATAGGCTCAATTGGATAAAGAAGGTGGCAGAGATAATGGATGCAGAAGAGTGGGTAGCCACTTGTAGGGTAAAATGGATCACTTTATTAAGATTTGTGCTTCCTGGACACACTGTACTTGCGAAGTAACTGAAAAACAATCCAGCCCTGCTATTCTTATTACATCCTAGGCCAGCATTTTTGCAGGTCATTAGTCTAGAGTTTAGAGATAATGTGCTTTACCACAGGATATCCAGCCCCACTATTTGCTTATGCCCCTCTTTGCTGTGAGCCTCTTACACTTAGCCTTTAAGCCTTGTAGCTATAGTCACCTTGGGAAAGGTTAATAGAGGGTTGATCAAAAGGATCACCGTAAGTTTGTGAACATTATCCTCTTTGGACTGTATTGGGTCTTGTCTTGATTGGTGTCTTTTTTGAGTTGTGATTTAGTTATCTGATTCTAGTTTGTTTTTGGAGCTTATCCCCACTGGAGGTTTATGCTATACTCTGTTGAATCTCACAATATAACTTCTTTGTTACAACCACTCAGCTGGATCTTACTGCTGTTCATGCGGTAGCGCTTCCACGCCCTTTCACATGATGGGTTCGGCTAAGGGAACAATATGTTTGGAAGAATATAGGACACTCATTGTGTCTGACACTATGGTTTAATGGCATAAGCATTGATTATGTGTGGTTGAGCAAAATGTTCATGTCTGTACCGCTGCATGACTCATGGCCAATTTTTTTCTTTTGATTATCAATTATTTATATTACTGTTGTGAATAACCAGGGTAGCTCTCTCTGTATTCTACAAACATGTCTGCCTCATTCTCTGTTAGGAGTGATTTTTGTATTGTATATGATGTTGTATTGAAAATACTTATACATAAAGATTATACAAAAAACAAATAAGCTGAAATGTAACAAATTGGTGGCATGCATGGCATGCTAGCTAAAGCTGACCATAGACAATGCAATTTAGTCGATCAATTCCCCCATCAACAGTGACCCCTATTATGTTCTGCAACAAGGGAACACAGTGATTATTGCTAGTGGCACTAGCCACTGGCAAAAAATCTGACAGGCTGGTTGTACCCAAGTCGTACACCAATCAAACTGGATATATTCAACCTGCCCATAGATGGTATGAATCTTGGCCGGAACTTGCTGAACCAGCTGAGATTCAAACCATCTATGGCCAGTTTAAGAGATTTTCTGTTTTACTGACCAAGAAGATAAACTTCACAAGGACCAGATTACAGACAGTGCCAAAGCACATAAAATGGCTTTTTAATTCTGTTATATATAAATGTTACCCCCTTCAGAGCTGTATTTAGAACTGTGGAAATATGGAGTATTTATAAGTACCGAACTGTATTTAATCTTTTTTTAATACTCTATGTTTTTGCAGGAGAGTGTAAAGTCATAAATGCCCTAAACACACCTCATGCAGGATGTGAATAAACACAAATGCCCAGTAGCAAAACCCTTCCTTGAAATTGTATGCAAATGTCAGACACTATGCATTATTTAAAGGTAATAAAGTGTAAGTTGTGTTCAGGATATTCTGTCTTTATGGTTATGGATAAAATTAGTGTGTGCTTTTAGCAGCAGACACATTTCAGCCAACCTTGCCTCTGTGTGTGCAATAGATTTGCTGGGTTTAATAACTGGCTTCAGATGCTAATCCTTGATATGTTTCACTCCATAAAAGCTGTGATTTGTTGACTTAAAAGTAGGATACACATGAGACAGCAGGGAATTGGCAAAGCAACCTGGCCTCTTATTATGCAATTCCAGCTGCAGGTATAAAATATCATCATGTATAGAATACAAATATCATAAGAGATTCTCACTCAGAAAAAAAAAGAATTTCTGTTCTGCTAATTATAAAAAAAAAATTTCTTTGTAACTTGATTAGCACTCTTGCATAAAGTGTATTTATAAAGTAGTAAATGTTACTTTCACCAAAGATTCACTGACTGTGAATCATTCACTGTTATTTAAAACATATGCCCCCTAGAAGATTAACCTGCAGTAAGTATTTGGTGAATGTCAGATTCGCTGCTTTATAAATATGCCCCACTGTGCATCAAGATGTCATTTTAACATGAAGAGAGGAAAAATATGTGAGGGAAATTGTTCCTCATTTTCTGTCACCGTGACTACCAGGGTATTGCTGTTTCCATTCTCTAGAGTGAATTCTTTTTAAAACCTATAGAGGTCAGTGTGACTGTTTCCTTTGTACAACATATATACGAAAATGTGATCAAAATAGGGGAACCTTCAGGATGTGAGAAGGGAAATCTCCTAAGAAATGGCTCCAAAAGTAATGACTCCCAAACTTGATCAAAAACCAAAAAAAAAAAAGGACTGGCTAAAGTTCCAACCAAAGAGGCTAAAAATGATAATGATTACATACACTCACCAGTCACTTTATTAGGTACACCTGTTCAATTGCTTGGTAACACAAATTGCTAATCAGCCAATCACATGGCTGCAACTAAATGCATTTAGGCATCTAAACATGGTAAAGATGACTTGCTGAAGTTCAAACCGAGCATCAGAATGGATAAGAAAGGGGATTTAAGTGACTTTAAATGTGACATGGTTGTTGATGCCAGACGGGCTAATCTGAGTATTTAAAAAACTACTGATATACTGGGATTTAAACGCACAATCATCTCTAGGGTTTACAGAGAATTGTCCAAAAAAGAGAGAATATCCAGTGAGCGGAATTTGTGTGGACAAAAATGCTTTGCTGGTGTCAGAGGTCAGAGAAGAATGGGCAGATTGGTTGCTACCACATTCAGATGGTAGAGTCAGAATTTGACATAAACAACATGAAAGCATGGATCCATCTTGCCTTGTATCAACGGTTCAGGCTGGTGGTGGTGTAATGGTGTGGTGGGGGGATATTTTCTTGGCACTAGCAAGGTGTACCTAATACAGTGGTCGGTCAGTGTGTAAGGTTTTAAAAAGCGGACCACTCTGCAATGCTCACCTTTCTCTCTGGTGCTTTCCTCTGCAGACTTACAACTCTTCAATCTAGCACCAGTCCTTTTCTTGGTTGAATGATGCCCAGTGTCATACAACCCATTTTCTGTGAGCTAAAGCTGTTATCATGGCTACCAAAGCTTACCGTAATCCTGGAGTGTGCTGTATGCACACATAATTACATGAACACTGTGCTGTACAGGAGTGAGGACCAATCACGTCACAACTGGGAAAGAAGGGGAAGAACCCATGATATCACTGGACTGGCCCAAAGACTGCAGGAAGAAAAGGATAACTGGATAAAGAAAAAATAGCGGCTTTAGGGGTCATGAATGACACAAAAATGCTGAAATTAGGCTTTGATATGTCTCAGTAGTTTGTTAAAATGGTTTCAAATATTTTTTCTTGGCAGACCTTTCATGTCTTGTCTGTGTGTTTCATACTGACTTTACAGTATAATGACATGCAGGCTGTCTTTGTGGATAAACCAAGAATACTGAAACTGGTTCTGAATTTAGTACAGTGTTACGTAGTTCATGAAGTCTAAGAGGATGGGGCTGCTTTTCTTTCACCTCCTGTCCAAGTGTCCCTAGAAGTGGTGACCAGGGGCGGACTGACCATTTGGAAATTCGGGCACTGCCCGAGGGCCCTGGGGTCAGTAGGGGGCCCCATGAGATGCCCCTGGTACCTTTTTCATAGGCTTTTTTGAGTTTGGGGAAGGACACAGGGGACCCATGCTCCCCTATTGCCTGGGGGCCCCATGAGTTGTCGGTCCACCCCTGGTGGTGACAGGAGACAAAAGCACTGTGAAGTGCTAATTAAGATGTTATCAGCATTTAATGGGTCTTAGTCCACTTTACAGCTACTCTCACCTCTTTCCCTACTGGAGTGGGCAGGCTGTCCCTGCCTACCTTGGGCTTCTAATAAAAGGTAATGGGAGGCTGTTAGAAAAGGAAGCTCTATGTTCTGCAACACAACGTTGAGGTTGGAGACAAGACATTATCTCCCCTTAGTGGGTGACCCTTGCAGCAACTTTGGATGAGTTAATTAATCATGGGATAGAACATGAGTACACTTTCTTGTTGGGACAATCAATGTAAAGTTATGCACTTGGGGGCTAAAAACATGCATTTGTCATACATTCTAGGAGGAAAACTGCTAGGGGAGTCAGTGGTGGAGAAGGACCTGGGTGTACTTGTAGATCATAAACTTAAAGTGGATATAAAGTTTTGCAATTATACACTGTGAGTAGGCAGGCATTTTTTTTGCAGAAGAGACATGCAATAAATCATACCTACCTGCCTGTTCACAGCAATCCCAGGACTGTAAACTGAGCTGCACATATGCAGTTCAGTTTACAGCAGCCAGGCCAATCTTGTGTTCGGGGAGGACTAGCTCCTGCACATGTGCATCATCCCGTGCCGACTAATGATAATGGCCAAAACCCGGCACACAGGAGAAGATGCTGGCGCCAGCGTAGGAGTGTTGGAAAGGCGAGTACCTTCTCTATAGTCCCGCTGTAATAATAGCATGCAATGCCAAACTGCAATTTCTCAAGCTAGCAAAATACTTTATTTTATTAAAAGAAGTATAGACCCCAGAGACAGGAAAGAGACATCAATTTGCTCCTTAAAAATTCATTAGTAAGACACAATCAAGCTGATAATAGGCATGGAGGAGCTCAGCCATTAGGAATAATTTACTAAATTGAATGTATTCTCTCTTGAGAAGAGGAGATTGAGGGGGGATATGATCAACATGTATAAATACATCAGTGCAGGGGCGGACTGACCATTTGGAAACTCGGGCACTGCCCGAGGGCCTGGGGTAAGTAGGGGGCCCCATGAAATGCCCCTGGTACCTTTTTCATAGGCTTTTTTGAGTTTGGGCAAGGACACAGGGGCCCCATGATCCCCTATTGCCCGGGGCCCCATTAATTGTCAGTCCGCCCCTGCATCAGTGGTTCATATAAATTAGTGTAGAATTATTCACTTTCAAGTCATCATAGAGGACAAGGGGTGCACTCTTTGTGTTGAGATGAAAAGAAATTCACCTCCAAATACGGAAAGGCTTCTTCACAGTTAAAATGTGGAATTGACTCCCCCAAAAACTAGTTCTGGCCAGCTCAGTATATTGCTTTAAAAAAGGCCTGGATTCTTTCCTAAATTTTCAAAATACAACTGGATAAGAATATTTATAGGTAAAGTTGATCCAGGGAATATTTGATTACCTCTTGGGGGATCAGGCAGGATTTTCCCCCCACTCTTACAAATTGGATCATGCTTTATTGTTTTTTTCCTTTCTCTGGAGGGTCTGATGTGGACTTATGAGGGGGACCCCACGCGCTTTGTTTTACCTGATTTTAAATGGGGTTCCCTCTTAAATCCTTACTAGACTCAAAGGGTTTGGAATGGAATTTTGAAAAGTTCTCATGCTTTTTTTTTTTGGGTGGGATCTCCCTTTTACACCCACCAGGAATTTAGCATTTTTCATGTTGCCCTTTAAAGAGAAACTACACTGCATCTTAGCACCAAAAACTAAAAACACTATTTAATTTATTTAGAGTATTCAAAGCAAACTCCCCCACCTATCCATGTCTCCATGCTTTATTTTGCTGAGAAATCACTTTGAAAAACACCCTCTAGCATTTCTGGCAACAGCCATCTTGAGTAAGGTCAGATGAATTATGTAGCATTTACTTCCTGGAATCCACCTGCCCTTATCTCAGGCATGCAGGCAGGAGGGTGTGCTTTGCTGAGGAAGCACCTCCTCTCCTCCTGAAGACTCCTGGGATGAATAACATCATTTTCCTGTGCCTGGAAACCAGGAAGTAACTGAAGAAATGTAAAAAAAAAGTTTCAAACAAGTAAATATAATATATAATAGCAGCTTAAGGATTAAAAATAGCCAATGTTGACAGAGAAAGTGAAGTTCTGTTTTAAGTATTAATACATTTGCTGCTCCTTGTCAAATGGAATTAAAAATAAAATGTTTTTTTATTTGGCACATGTTTGTCAGGGCAGTGATCAGCCCTCAATGCCTCTTGTTTGATAATGCCTTGCCTATAAGCCTGTGGTCAGTATTGGTTTTTAACATTTAGCTCTCATTCATTTTAATGGGTTTCAGATTTGGCACCAGAACTTAAAGCAGAGCTCCACCAAAAGGGAAGTTCTGCTTTAACCATTAGCCGCCCGGCCAATAGCCGTTTGGCGGCTTCAAAAGCGCTGCAGCTTTCCGGGTACACGCCATTTGGCGTTGTCCCGGACACGCCCCCAAAGCGCGCCCCCAGCGGCACGCATCCGGCCGGTCTCATGTCCACTGTGTCCCATGGACACAGCGCTTTCACTGATGAGGGTAACAGCCAACACTATTGGCTGTATACCCTGCGATCGGCTGTGTCCTATCACAGCCGATCAAAAGTAGCAACAAGGAGCTGTCACTTGGCTCCCTCCCGGACACGCCCCCAAAGCACGCCCCCAAGGCGCGCCCCCAAGGCGCGCCCCCGGCGGCGCAGCGAGCTGGTATCTTGTCAGCTGTGTCCCATGGACACAGCGCTTTCCCTGATTAGGGTAACAGTCAATACAATTGGCTGTTTACCCTGCGATCGGCTGTGTCCTATCACAGCCGATCAGAAGTATAAACAAAGAGCTGTCACTTGTTGTCACCACTTCTTCTCCTCACACACGGATCCTGTGTGAGGAGAAGAAGGGGAACCGTGAGTTACAGCTCAGTACAGTGCAGCACATTATAGATTGCCAGAGTGTACCTGTCAGTGTACCTGTCAGCCCATAACAGTGTACCTGTCAGTGTACCTGTCAGCCCATCACAGTGTACCTGTCAGCCCACCTGTCAGCCCATCACAGTGTACTTGTCAGCCCATCAGGGTGTACCTGTCAGCCCATCAGGGTGTACCTGTCAGCCCATCAGGGTGTACCTGTCAGCCCATCAGAGTGTACCTGTCAGCGCATCACCAGCCCATCACGGTGTACCTGTCAGCCCATCAGAGTGTACCTGTCCCATCAGAGTGTACCTGTCAGCCCATCAGAGTGTACCTGTCAGCCCATCAGAGTGTACCTGTTAGCCCATCACAGTGTACCTGTCAGCGCATTACCAGCCCATCACAGTGTACCTGTCAGCGCATCACCAGCCCATCACCGTGTACCTGTCATCAGCCCATCACAGTGTCCCTGTAATCAGTCCATCACAGTGTACCTGTCAGCAGTCCATCACAGTGTACCTGTCAGCAGCCCATCACCGTGTACCTGTCAGCAGCCCATCACCCTGTACCTGTCAGCAGCCCATCACCGTGTAGCTGTCAGCAGCCCATCACAGTGTACCTGTCAGTGTACCTGTCAGCGCATCACCAGCCCATCACCGTGTACCTGTCATCAGCCCATCACAGTGTACCTGTCAGCAGCCCATCACAGTGTACCTGTCATCAGTCCATCACAGTGTACCTGTCCGCAGCCCATCACCACGTACCTGTCAGCAGCCCATCACCGCGTACCTGTCAGCGCATACAACTGTACAGCCTGTCAGTGTACCTGTCATCAGCCTGTCATCAGAGTACCCATAAAAGCCACCATCACTGCAGCCCATCAGTAGTTACCCATTACCCATTACAGTTGCCTGACATACTGCCAACATGTCCAAAAAATATTATTCTAGTGAGGAGGCTTTCCAAATCCTGAGCATGACGGACGAGAGCAGCGGGGAGCTCTCACCGTCCGATTCCGATTTGGATTACGAGCCAAGAGAAAGCAGTGGATCGGTGACCGAATCGGAAGAGGAAGTAGTCCCTACAAAAAGAGTAAGACGCTCTGAAGAGCAGGCAGCAACGAGCAGCGCCAACATACAAGTGCCATTACACACAAATGGTCAGTCAGAAAAACCAACAGAGCTAGACCCCAGGATGACAGGCCCAGTACCAGCAGTGGGATATCACGCCAGACCCCAAGAGTCAGGTCCCAAACTTGCCTCCCAAACTCTCTTGCAAACCCTTTGTGGCTGCCTTCCAACCAGGATCAGCTACAATCCACCCTTTCACCGCACAACCAGGAGTGCAGATCAACACAGAAAATTTTTCCCCAATTGATTTTTTAAATTTATTTTTCCCTGATAGTCTCCTTCAGTCAATTGTTGATCAAACCAACCTATTTGCCCAACAATTTATTGCAGCCAACCCCAATTCGTGTTATGCCCGTCCATTCGAGTGGAGACCGCTAACACTAGAAGAGCTTAGATTGTTTTTGGGCCTTACGGTCAACATGGGGCTTACAAAAAAAATTGTACTACATTCATATTTGGTCCACCCACCCCATCCATCACATTCCCATATTTTCATTCGTAATGCCAGGTCACGTTATGATTGATAATGCGTTTCCTGCATTTCAGTGAAATTCCCAGTGCCCTCCCCGACATAGGCTTTGACAAACTGTACAAAGTTCGCCCCCTAATTATTTTTTTTTCTAGAATATTTTCTGAAGTTTATGTCCCTGACCAAAACATCTGTGTGGACGAATCTCTTATCCACTTTACTGGCCGGCTGGGAATCAAGCAATACATGCCCAGTAAGAGGGCCAGGTATGGAGTTAAGCTCAACAAGCTGTGTGAAAGTGCCACGGGTTATGTGCATGCCTTTCACATGTATGAAGGCAAAGACTCCCACCTTCAGCCCCCTGGGTGCCCAACCTACATTGGCATAAGTGGCAAAATTGTCTGGGACCTGGCCTTTCCACTCCTCCAAAAGGGATATCACATCTATCTTGACAATTATTATACAAGCCTGCCCCTTTTCCGCCACCTGTACCTTGAAAAAACAATGGCCTGCGGTACTGTCAGACCAAACAGGAAGGGCTTCCCACAAAGTTTAATTAGAACGACTCTACAAAGAGGGGAATCTGCAAGTGTTAGGAACGAGGAAGTGCTGGCCGTGAAATGGAGGGATAGGAGAGATGTTTATGTCCTGTCCACAATCCATAATGACATCATGGTGGACATTCAAAGAAGATGAGGGGAAGTCCAAAAGCCAGAGTGTATCTTCAATTATAATCAATTCATGGGGGGGGGGGGGTGGATTTAAACGATCGCATGCTGCAGCCATACTTACCATCAAGGAAGTCCCTCTACTGGTACAAAAAAGCTGCAATATACATTTTCCACATGGCAATTTATAATTCATATATAATCTATCAAAAATCAACTGAAAGACCTAGCCACTCTTCAAATACACTGAAGATGTCATCACTGCCCTAATCTATCAGCAAGGATCTCCACCACAAACCATTCGCTCCGATTGTGTCAGCAGACTGCATGAACGCCATTTCCCTGAGAGAATTCCACCATCAGAAACAGGAAGAAGACGTCGAAAAACATGTAAGGTATGCAGCAGAAGGGGAATTAGGAAAGACACCAGTGTTCATTGTCCCCAATGTCCCTCCCAACCAGGCCTATGCTTCGAAGACTGCTTCAAACGTTATCACACTATAATAAGATATTAGTTCCCCATATTTTCAACAGCCTGCAACTTCCCCATTTTTGTTATCTGTGCTGATCTTTTGCCTACTGCCATGATTTATCATGCCTCTGCCTTCTACCTTAACTGACCCTGGCCTGTTTACCGACAATGCCTCTGCTTGCCGTCTGAATTGCTTCTACACCACATTTCTGCTTTTCACCAAAACTGACCATGGATTTTTATCGACTATGCTTCTGCCTGCCGTCTGGATTATTAACCACGTTTATGCCTTTTTCCTGGACTGACCTTGGCCTGTTAAATCGACAATGTTTTTTGCCTGCTGCTTGGATTGATCTTTTGCCCTGCTACTGCAGTAGTGGGATTCAAGATAACACAGGGGTCTCGCATATGTGAGGGGCTTCAGAATAGATAAAAACCAGTTTTTGGTTTTCTCCGGGTTTTGTTAGTCCCGGTATAGGGTCTGTTGTCCGGAGGCTTCGAAGAGATTGGGTGGGACTGAGCCTCTACCCCTGTGCCTCAGTCCTACCTGATCAAGGCCCTAAGCCTGATGTTCCTGTCTGCTGCCTGGACCAATACTTTGGCTGTGCTGACCATATCTCCTCTTGCTACCTGTA